CCAACACTGCTAAATGGCCCCTGTGGTTCACTCGGCAGATCAAAGCACATTCAAAACCCATTACACAGTGCCTGTGCACCCATCTCCATTCCTGTACCCCCACCTGCTGCCAACCTCAGAGGGCTTGTCCCTGGATAAGTCTATGCCAGACCCCTCTCCACCAGGTGAGGTCTGACATTCCTTTCCCATCATCCTCTTCTGTCTTCCTGTAGTACCAGTACATTTCACTCAGCCCCATTTTAATACAGTCCTCAACTGTGGGGTCTGAGTGTCTGTTGATGAGCAGGTCCCTGGCTTTCCACAGTGCAGACCTGAAGCAGGAGATGAACTGGCCAAAGTGAGCTGCCGGGGTCCCTTGCTGTCTGGTCAAGTGCCCATAGAGGACTACTTTCCTGGCAACTAACACCAGGTATTAAGTGTTCCCCAGGGTCGCTAGGGCATGGGAGCAGGACCTGGGGGCAGGCATTGCCTGCAGGGGAAGGGGGCATCTCAGGGCGCTTTGGTGCAGAACCTGCCTTGCGGGGTGCGGGGAGCAGGGTGGGAATGCAGCCCTCAGGGCTGGGTAGGTGGCTGCCAGGGAGGGAGGGGCAAACCCCATTCTAGCTGCCCCTGGGCTGAATGCAGAGCCCTAGGGTAATAACCCTTTCCTGCTTGCACTCCAGTAGCATGGAAGGGGCCACACAGAGGCTCCCAGAGCAGGTATATGACCTTGCTCCCGGGGTCCTAGGACATGGCTAAGGGTGGGTGGGAGCTGGCTTGTGGTTGCAGAGGAAAGACAGTGGTTGTGGGGCATCCAGGCTGGGTGGGTGTGTCAGGGCAGGGGGCCAGGGCCTGGGCTGGGGGCTGCAAGGGAGGAGGAGCAGGGAGGAAGTTCTCAGGGAAGGGGTTGCACCCTGCTTCCTGCCCTGGGGGACTTTCCAGCTTGCTCTCTCCTGTTGGACACTTGGTGCTGTTTACAAGTCTGAGACCCCCACATGGCTCATTGCATGGATTCTCTCACATATGAGGTGGGAGGGGTGGAGTAAAAGCCCTGCCAGGAGCAGACTCCAGCCCTCTGGCCTCTCCCTGAGACGGCAGCAGGAAGCAGATGTGGGGGCGACACAGCACCAAGTTCTCCCTTTGTGGGCTTTCACTGGAACCAGAGCTCTCTCCCTCTACCTGGTCCCATTTCCCCTGCCTGGTGTAAGTGCCTGGCTTGTGAGCTGTGCACCCAGGCATCTGGGTGAATCTTCTCTCCTTGCAGTGATGGCCTAAGGCCAGAGCCTCTCCTGGCACCAGGTGCAGAGGCTGTGTGGGGCAGGCTCTGTTGATCTCAAAGCCAAGGCCCTCATCCTTCCACAGGGTGCTGCCCAGCTCCACCAGCCCCCGGCAGGATCTTGCCCAGCCTGGGGGAGCCTGTCCCAGAGGGGGAGGGTGACTCATTTCCCATCACCAGCTCCCTGCAGGCTATGGAGGCTCAGCCCTGCTCCCCTGGCCCAGCAGCTAACTCCTCTGACAGCAGGATTGGGGTCATCTCAGTGCAGAGGCAGGGGTGGAGCTAGGTCTTGGTCTCTCCCTGCACCTGATGTTACCCAAAAATTAGGCTACTGACAAAAGTTGGTTTCTTTTCAGTGGGGTAGTTTATTGCTAAGGGTACTGGAGAGTTATAGACTTATTAGAGACCATGTACTTATTAGAAATTGTGTTACCCTACCATACGCACACTCACACATACATACATACATACATTCTTGCAGATGACACGCTTACATAATCTATCTCAAAGGTGTTGCAGATAGGGATGGCCAGTCCCTATCAGTTGATGGAGCAGAGTATCCGACCTGGCGCACACAGGCCCGGGCTCCGGTGGTGAGGCAGGTTCTTCCCCGCATCATCCTTTCTCTTGCCCACTTTTATACAGTTTATGTTGCTGGGCATGATTTCTGGATGCTTCTTCTTCAGGCATGTGCTGCTCGGTCAGCAAGTAACCAGCTCTCCCTTATCTCACCAGCTGGAACTGGTCTTCTTGTCATGGATGTTGTGCGGGCATTTGGCCTTCAATGGTCTGCTTTTAACTGCTGACATTACAACTTCTCCTTTCTTAGCTGTTTTGTTTTTTCATATCATCTGATTCTCTTTTATTGCTCACACATACAGTAGTCATACCCTCTATTGCTTACTAGACCTATTAGTGATACATTTTCTAACGTACTGGCTATATTCCCTGCTTTGAGGCTTGGGGTATATTTTATCCCCAAAACTCACAAAATTAATTCAATCATACCCACATATATATTTAACAGATTAAATGTGATCCTAAACAAAAAATATATATAGATTACATGAATTAATAAAAACATAGCATTAATTCAAAATAATCTAGTTTGCTAATATAAGGAAATAAGCTGTTGATACTATGATAACAAATACATTAAAGTACATTTATTAATATAATAAAAAGGCATCTTACTATAAATGGGAATTTGAAACTTGGAAATTTGCTTATTAGGTAAGCAAAACCACAGGCAGCATAGGCAACAACTGATGATACTAATCCTGTTTAAACCATAAATGTAAATAGCATGCAACTCAATGAATGACACATAACAGTTCCGCCACAAAACTGGGACTTGATGAATGATACAACATTTCCTCACCAGAACTGAGACTTAGGCCCCCCTGCTCTCTGAGGCCTTGTTGCTGTGGTTGCTTATCTCGTGTTATGGTACAGTATGGAACATACTTCTTTATTTCTCAGACAGTTTCCTAGACTATGTGTCCTTGTTGGCCTTGTTGTGCTAGAGAGCCCGTGTACCTCCAGGGCCGTGAGAAGCTGTGTGTGTGTCTCTTAAGCTCTTCAAAAATCCATTTAACCACTGTGGCTCCATGTGGTGGGCAAGTAGGGGGAACTGTTGCGTTGAGCCTCCCACCTCACTATACCCATCCACCTTCCAGACTCCATGTGTCTCTCCAGGAGCACCTAAGCCCTGGCAGACCCCCTTTTGAGCCCCACCACTGAGTCTGGGGGTAGCGTGTGCTGCCACCACCCCAAGAAGGGACTGTCTGGGGGCTGTGTCCTCAGGAAAACACAGGCCTAGTAGTCCTATGGGTACTCGACCCAATACAAGAACGTGGGGCACTTCCCCAAGTCGGGGGCCAAAAAGGATAGACTCCCTTAGTCCACAGACCCAAGGGGCCTCCTAGGCATAAATAAACCCACCCCTCAATAAGTCTCCTGCACCAGTCACAAAGGAGAACTTTATTGGTTACAGAGGGTAGGGGTAGAATAGGGTACAGGGTAGAGCAATATCAGAGGAATCCCATCGAGCAAACTCCTGTGGCTGGGGTAGCCTTTGATCTCACATCTGAGTTACTGTAAGCTATATATCTAGTTGGATCTCAGGTAGCTTCCTCACAAGTATCATCCAGAGGCAGGTGGAGATTCCCTCTGGAGGCAGGCAGTTCCTTGATCATGAGTTTTGAGAGAGAGAGCCAGTTTCAGATGGTACAGCTCTTCTTTTTTCCTGAGTATCCCTCATGGCTGCTGCCCCCTCCTCCTGGGCAGTCCTTAACTTATATAGCCCTTGTGACCTCATTTACCTGGTCCAATGGAGGCCAGCACCTGTTGGCTGTTGCTGGGCAGACTCTAGCCCACCAGGAAGGAAGCCCCTCACCCAGGTATGTGATACTAGTCACATAGGCAGAGGGAGCAGGTTTCCCCCATCCCTCAGGAATGTATCCAGCTCAGGTTACCTAGAGAGAGAGGGTAAGGATGTGTCTGTCTGCTGGGTCCATCCTTATCTAATTGTCACAGTGCAGGGACTTTGAGAAGAGACAAAGGTGGCTTTCTGCCACAGCCTTGGTGAGCTAGAACGCCCGTCTACCTCCAGGGCTGTGAGAAGCTGTGTGTGTGTCTCTTAAGCTCTTCAGATATCCATTTAAACACTGCTGCTCATCCTGACCCCTTACAATGAACATATCTATACATATAAGCCAATTTCTAAAAACCAGGCCTTTAAATACCATGTCTAAGCCAATATGTCCCCTCCTTGAAGATGTATATTTACACTATACTGGAGTATAATCACTGGTATCACCTGGAATGTCTATGAGATTTGTGGGGAGGGCCTCCACCAGTCATCTTGGGAAAAGCATGACAGTATTCATGGTCAGGGGGCTCCTACAGGCTGGATGCTGTGATGAACCCTGAACCATTGCTCAAATGTTGCCCATACCCACTCTGACTTCGTCTCTTGCCTCAGCGTTCCCTAGCCTGACAACCGAGTTTTAGCCAAGTAGGCTTAAATAAGCCTCTCATACTGGGACCAGGGAATGTAGGAGATGCTTCCCAAACTTTACTACAAATTTTAGCTAACCCCTTTAAAATGCCTCCTAACAGTTATTCAGATGGAGGAACAGAGTTTAGTAGCTTCCCATAAAAACCACAATAAACCGGATACCTGCTTAGCCTCCAAAGGCCCGGAAAATGATAAAACATTTAATTTCATTTGCTTCTTCTTTCTTAGTCATAAATATCACATTCATACCCTCTATTGCTTCCTAGATCTATTACTGATACATTTTCTAACCTACTGGCTACACTGGGTCCTGTGGGGAGCTGTGGCCCCAAGCCTGGCAAACCTGCCTGCCGAAGCCAGGGAAGTGGGGGCCGAGCTCGGGGTGGGCAGTACCCGCCAGCAGCCTCAGGGCACAGGAGCAGTAATCCGTGGAGTGGGGGGCAGGGAAGTAGTATGTGCTGTGCTGCAGAGGGGCCACAGGGACACTCTCCTAGGCAGCCCCAGTAGCCCCCAGTCCTAGAGAGGGGCTTAAACATTGCCCCAGCCTGGGGGAAGGTGGCAGGGTGGGGACACCCAGGGTAGGGTGGGAGTGGGCCTTCCCTCCTGCAGCAGATGATTGGCCAGGCACAGGTGTTGGCTTCTGTGGGCAGGAAGACAAAACGAAAATTTGACATGGGCAGGTGTGAGAGCTTCCAGGGCCCCACACCCAGTTCCCCTGCAATGATGCAGCAGCTTCCTCTTCTCCTCCCTGGCCGTTTTGTGGCATGGGGGGCCCTGCTCGGTGTGTGGAGGGCTCTGATTCTGTAGCTGGGGCTGGGGAGGGTGTGAGTGGCTGCATTTATGGTGGGGTGCTTGTGCAAGGTGGGCCTTGCCCCACTACTGACCCTTGCTTTCTTTGCAGCCTTCCCCATGTCATCCCCCATGCCCTCCTTGCCGCCCCCCATGGAACCCCAGATCCTTCGGCTGCTGGTGACCATGGTCTTCCATGACACCACCAGATCAGCTGACACCCAGGGCACCGCGCTGCTGGGCGATGTCCCCACCCACGCCATGGACTGTGGTACTTGCCCCATTCGCTTCCACCAGCCCTGGGCCTGTCAGGGGCTGTCCCCCAAGCAGTGGGGTGACCTGGAGAAAGCTATTCATCTCTACCTGGTGCTTATCACACGCACAGTTGTCACGGTGGTGCAAGGGACTGTCATGAACTGTGAGTATAAAGAGTTTGGGGTGGGGGCTGAGCACTGACATGCTCGTTGCAGCTGTCTCCCACCTGGCAGGGTTGGGGCCACGAGAGTCCTTGTGGTGCCTGGAACTGGACAATGCCCCCTTAAATGGGTGCAGGGGGGACCCCAGCTTGCTTGGGGAGGCACTGACACAGCCTGGGTATTTTAATGGCTGTCAGATGAGGTACCAGGAGGATCTTGCAAAGCTGAAATGGTCATCCAGTCACAAAGAAAGGATGGGGTATCCCTGGCACCATAGCCTCACCTTCCCAATAGCCCCATCCCTGCTCCCCTGGGACTGACAATGCACCTTCACTTCTCTTCCAGTCCCCTTTGTGATCCAGATCCTCATGGGCTGTGAGGTCCTTCCCAACGGCACCTCCTACAGCTTTTACCAGAGCACGCGGGACAGGCACAGCTTGGTGAGGTTTAACCTGGACACGGGTGAGTGGGTGGCCGCACCAGGGGATGAGATGGCCCAGCAGGTTTGCCGTAGTTTCAGCCAGGACCAGGGCACATCCAGCCGGCTACGGTTCCTGCTCCAGAAAACCTGTGTCGCTGAGATCCTGAACTTTGTCTACTACGGGAAGGAGACACTGAAGAGGCAGGGTGAGACCAGACGTGCACTGGCATAATCCCCCCTGCCCTCTTGCTCTGCCACCCGCTGGCTGACATGGAGCTGTCTGCTGGGGAGGAAGCAGTTGCTGCTTCTATCCAGGCCTTGCCTGGGCTGAGATGCAGCTGTCTCTAGGATGAGGCACCTCCACTGGGATCCTTCATGCAGCTGGATGTGCAGTTGTCTCTTGTGTCATGGATACCCTAACCACGCCTCTGTGTGCCATCCCCAGAGCGCCCGGTGGCTGTGGTGTTTGCCCGGCAGCCTCCCATTGCCCTGGAGCTCCCACAGCTGCTCATTTGCCGGGTCACTGGCTTCTACCCACGGCCCATTCGTGTGACCTGGCTGCGGGATGGTGAGGAGGTGACTCCAGGCCCGGGGCTCAACTCCAGCGGCCTCCTGCCCAATGCTGACCTGACCTACCAGCTGCGCATTGTCCTGGCCGTTGACCCAGGAGCTGGGCACAGCTATGCCTGCCATGTGGAGCACAGCAGCTTGGGGCACCAAGGCCTCATTGTGTATTGGGGTAGGTGTGGGTTAGAAATGGGTATGGGGGGATGCTCTTAGTGCTGGGGAGTGGGCAGCCCCCTTGGAACCAGGGGCTGCCACCCATGGCTGGCTCCAGCCCCCTGCCTCCATGCTCCTGACTTGGGTGTTGCAGGTTCCCTCCTCAGGGGCTCAGTTGTAGAGCAGCGAGGGGCATGAAGGATGCAGGGATGGGGTGAGTAGACCCGGGGGGTTGGTGGGGCAGGATGGGCAGCCCAGACACCAGATTTCCATCTAACTGTTGTGGGGGTGGGTGAAGCAGAGGCAGCAGGGGCTCCTGGGAGGCAGGTGAGGGAGCACTGTGCTTCCACTGCCAGCTCTCCCCCTCTTTTAGGGCCTGGAGGGCACTGGGCAGTGGGCCTGGCTGTGGGCATTGCCATTTCATTGCTGGCTGCAGCAGTTTTGGCCGCTGTCCTGTGGTGGATGAGACACCGTGAGTCCTTCTCCCTTCCCCAGGGGACAAAGGGTTGGTTCCCACAGCCTGTGCACCCTGAGCACACCACCCTCTGTCTGTCTTTGCAGGATCCACGTGGTCAGAGCAGAGAAACAGTATGGGACTGTAGCTGTTTCCTGCACCCCCAAGTTCTTCAGTGGCTGTGGTCCTTCACCTAAGCAAGACCAGCCAGGCCCCAAACCCTTGGGTCAGCAAAAAGGGGTTGGTCAGGCTAGAAGCCTGGACACATGGGTTTCATGCCAGCTCTGGGAGGGGGATGAAGTCGGGGTGGAGAGTGGTAGTTAGGGTCAGGTTGGGCTGGGAGCCAGGGCACCTGGGTTCTCTCTCGGGTTAGGGAGGGGAGTGGGGGCTGGTGCGCGAGAGCAAAGGGGACTGGGAAACAGGATGCCTTCCTTCCGTCCCTGTTGAGGTATCCTAAATAAAATCCTTGGGATCAATGCTGAGTCCTGCTCATCATGTCTTTTCTAATTCTGCCCCTAGGCAGGGGGCATAGCTAACAGAGAGGGCATCTGCAGTTGCAGAGGCAGCTGCACCTTGGTCCAGGCAAGGTATTGATACAAGCAGTGATTGCTCCCTCCCCCAAAGGGAGTTGCATGTCAGCCAGGAGGGCTTATCCAATTCTGGCCTGACACTGCCTCTCTAGCATCTCCTTTGCATAGTAGATGGAGCTTAGGGCCTTGGCAATGCTAGTATTACAGAGTAGGAACTGCAGCTGGCTGGACATACCCCAGTCCTGGTTGTATCGCTTGTGGACCCATTGGGCTTCTCAACCCTGGTATGGCCCCACAGCCTCCCATGGCCAAGGAGAAGATCACCAAGTCCTGCTTATCCTGTGTGGTTCAGTATAAGCTGAGGGAGGTGCCATTGCGGTGGATCTTGCAGATCGTGAGGTTCTGGATCATGAAGGGGATGGAAGTGAAGTGGGGTGATGGGCACCGTCAGGCTCGGGGAGCAGAGAGGGGGCGGATGGGCAGTCTACAACTTGGTGATGGGATGCCAGGGCCTCACCAACCCCATCTTCATGGCTGGATGAGAACTTTGCATTGCATGATCTTCCTGGTACCTCCTCTTGACGGCCACTAAAATACCCAGGCTGTGTTAGAGCAACCCCCACCCCCAACCCCCACAAAGCAACCTGGGATCCCCCCTGCATCCTCCCATGTAGGAGTTCTCCAGTTCCAGGGACCATAAGAATTGTGGTTGCCTTGATCCTCCAGGGACATGGTGGGAGATAGCTACAATGAGCGAATCGGTGCTCAGCCACACCCTGCACTCCCTGTACTCAGCCCATGCTGGCTTCCTACGCTGGCAGTCATCTGGGTGATGAGCACCATGTAGAGATGCATGGTGTGCTCCAGGTCACCTCACTGCTTAGGGGACATCCTTGGTGGGCTCAGGGGTGACAGCTGTGGATGGGCAGGTGTCGTAGTCCAGGACATGGGTGGGGACGTTGTGGAAGAGCATCAGAAGCTGGAGTGTGTTGGACCCCATGGAGAGCGGAAAAGGGAAGGTTGGGGATGGCATAGGAAGCCTTCGGGAAAGCAAGGGTCAGCAGTGGGACAATGCCCACCCCTCGCTTTGCAGAAGACCCCAGGCATGCAGCCCCTTGTGCTCCCTGCCATCAGCCATAGGATAAAGATCCTCCACACACCAAGAAGAGCCCCCCACACCACAGAGAGTCTAGGGAAGCAGAGGGGAAGCTGAGGCATTGTTGCAGCCAGGAGGAGGGACACAGTTGCTCTCGCAGCTGCCTATGCCAACTAATTCCTTTGTCTTCCTGCCCACTGAGGTCACCACCCTGTGCCCAGGCAGTTGCCTGCCAGCACAGGGAAGTGGTCCACTCCACTCCAGCTGTTCCAGCCCTGCTGCTTCCTCCTGGGTTAAGGCAACATTACTTTAAGCTCTCCTATAGAAGTGGGGGCAACTGGGGCTACCTAGGAGAGTGCCCCTTCTGCCCCTTGCAGCACAGTACTGGGGTACTTCAGGGGACTCCTGTGCCCCCAGGCTGCTGGCGGATGCTTCCCACACACATCTTGGCACCTCTGGCTCAGGCAGGCAGGTGCACTGGAGCCTGGGCCCATCAGGAAGTGCAGCAGTTACACCGCAGAGCTGCAGCTCCCCACAAGCCCCAGGTGCAGCAAGAGGTTGGGACCTGGCTGTACCCCTGGCTCAGCACTGAGATGGCCCCAGTCCTGCTACTGGGGGAATTGGCTGCCAGGCTGGGGCAGCAAGGCTGAGGTCCCATGGCCTGCAGGAAGGGGTGATGGGAGAGGAGCCTCCCTCACTCCTAGGGCAGGCTCCCCCTGGTCAAGCACAATCCTTTGGGGAGGGGGTGGACAAGGGTAGGAGCCTGCAGGAGAGTGAGGGACTGACCCTTTATATAAACAGGGCTTTGCCCCCATGGCATCTGCTCCAGATGGTAGGTAAGGCTGTGGCTTGAGGCCGTTATTGCAGGAGGTCAAGACTTGCCTGGGCACCTGGGTCCACAGGTCATGGACTGTGCACTGGCATTGGGCAGGGAAAGTGGGACCAGGCAGTGGGAAGGAGCTCCAATTCCAGCAAAAGCCCACAGAGGAGGAGCTTGGTGCCCTGCCTGCCTCAGCATCTCGTGCCTGCTGCCTTCTCAGGGAGAGGCCAGAGCGCTGGTGTTGGAAGGTGGCAGAGCTTTACTCCTGTCCTTGAATGAGGAAATCTGTGGAATAAGCCATGTGGGGTCTCAGCCCCATTGGCAGCACCTAATGTCTGACCTGTGAAGGAGGGAGTGACCTGGAAGTGTCCCTGGGGCAGGAAATAGAGTGCAAGGCCCCCTGAGCCCTTCTTCCTTGTTCCTCGTCCATTGTAGCCCCCAGCCTGGGCTCTGGCCCTCTGCCTCATCAGGAGCTGTCCAGCCCAGATGTCCCATAGCCACTGTCTTTCCTCTGCAGCCAGAGGCCTGCTCCCATCCTCCCTTAGCTGTGCCCTGGGACCCCAGGAGCAAGGTCATAGCCCTGGCCTGGGAGCCACTGTGCACCCTCTTCCCTGCTAATGGGGTGGAATCAGGAAAGGGTTAATTCCCCAGGGCTCCCTGGTCAACTCAGGTGCAGCTTGATCTGGGTTTTCCCCCTCCTTCCCCAGCAGCTGGCTGCCCAGGCCTGGGGTCACATTTGCACCCTGCTGCCCCAACCCTGCAATGCACTGCAGCCCCCTTCACCCCCAGGTTGTGGCTGCCCCCAGGACCAGCTCCCAACAGGCACTGCTGGCTGAAGGAGGGGGAAACCCAGAGTGTCAAAAGCACCAGCAGGTGCAACACTTGAGTGAGGGGAGAGACAATATTATTGTAAAACCAGCTGGTTTCAATGGAGGGAAAAGTGCAGGGAAAATCCGCTGTCATCCTATGCCACCCGACAGCCAGGGGGCTTATGGCTATCACAGGGAGGACAAAACCTAGAGGCAGTCAGGGCAGGACCTATGTGATGGGCAGAGCCAGGGGCCTCCAGAAAAATGGGGACAAGTGTCAGTGAGATCTGGAGGCCGGCAGGGCCCTGTCCCTGTATTCCCACAACCACGCAAGCTGAGATACCGGGGCCACCAGGGTATTCCACCATTGGCCACAAGGGGGAGGCCTCAAGCCACCTTGTGGGGTGGCTGGTAGTCAGCAGCACTGGCCCAAGCAGGATCTAGCCTCCACGTCTTGCTCCTCTGGGGTCAGACCTCGCTCTGACCCTGGGTGGCTGCAGTCCCCATTGGGGGACTCCTCCTAAAGCTGGGCTCTGCCTGGCTTGAGCTGATGCCACCCAAACCCCAGGCCAGGGCCCAGTGCCCCAGGGGCCTGACACTCAGCTTCTGCCTCTCCCTGCAGGAGGGAGCTGGAAGGAGATGCCGGGGCAGGTATGGGAACAATTTCCTCCTCTGGGGTCTTTTGCTGGAACTGAAGCTCCCTCCTGCCTTCTGGTCCTGCTTCCCTTGCTGTGTGTCAGTGCCCAGCAGAACTGGGAGCTTCCTGGCTCATGACCGGTGGACACAGATATCCATGCTGGTCCTCATGCAGTGAAGGCTTCAGGCCTCAGGCCACAGCCCCCCTTGGAATCAAGCTGTTGGGGTGAGGGTGGCAGGGGAAGGGATAGGTCTTCCCCTTCCCACAGGCTTCAATCTCTCTCTCACTGTGCCTGAAATACGCAGAACTCTTTCACTCTCTGGCTGCAGAAAGCACAGGTGATTGAGGCACATCAGGTGAAAAAAGTCTGTGCACCACAGTACAGTCCTGTTTTGCTAGTACTATTTCAATTTGTAGCCCTGGAGTAAATCTCCAAGGCAAGAAACATGTTGGCTGTTTGGCACAGCTCTCCAGTGCTGCAAAAGTATGTATACCAAGGCAACAGACAAACTAGATGTACTAAATAAACAAATAATACTCATATTTAATAGGACAAATCCATTGAAATCAATAGGAGTGTAACAGGGTACTGTCCCAGGGTGGCCGTGACATCCCTGGATCCCCCCTGAGCCCTGGTCACCTTTACGTTCTTTGGGCAGTTTCCCCTTCAACTCAAAAGGGAGGCTGCCTCAGAGCTCCCTAAGCTAGATCGCATATTCTTGAACACAGGTGTCACTACTCTTTGCCTTCAAGGCTAATCACCTGGTCTCCTCATTTCCCCTCCCCTCATTGCCGGCTGGGGCCCGCGGGCCACCCCTGCCCGCCTTGCCACTGCCCCGCCACTGCCACCACTGCGAATCCGTGCTCCACCGCTGTGGCTCCACTGGTGCTGCTGCTGCTACTGCCGCGGCTTTGTGCTCTGCCGCTGCAGTTCCATGCTGCCGCTGCAGCTCTATTCTCCACCCCCACTGCCGTGGCTCTGCACTCTGTGGTGGTGGCAGTGGTGGCACCACCACCGCAGGCCAGATAAAATGGCTTGGCAGGCTGCATGGCGGCCCGCGGTTCGTATGTTGGACAAGCCTGCTGTGGACTGTGCCACCTGCCCCATCGGGTTCCTTCAGCCCTGGGCCCAGGAAGGTTTTAGTCTCAAGCTTGGGCCCAATGTAGAGCTGCTGATCCAGCTGTACCTGAGCAACTTCATCCACCAAGTCCCCAATGGGGTGCATCAGGGGGCTTGAGATGTGAATGCCTGGGGG